TTCCAAATTATAGATTTTCTGTGGATTGTGAAACATTTGTAAAAACGCATGCATTTGACTGATATATTGTTTCTTTTTATAATTTGCAAGTTCCCGGACATACTTTGTTAGGAACATAGGATACTTACTAATGGAGATGTGAACTTTTATTGCTAAAATGTCAATCGATACTAGTTTTTTTTGGCCCAATAAGGATAGAACACTCCTTCAAAGGTGACTACGAACGCAGTAAACTCAAGTACCAATGATTTAACGGTATACCTAAAACTGTATGTTGATCAAGATCCTTCCTGCCGTAACTGAACAGTTCCATTTTTATGAGGAAGAATACACAGCTATTTGCGTTGAATAAACTCACTCTGGCCCACCCTGATCCACTACGTATCGGCCCACCGAATTTCGGACTAGGGGTGTGCGATAGACTTACCTCCACGTGGTGCACCCTGGGCAACGTATATTCATACGGCAAAAAAGTCTATTAACTGGCAGTTGACTTCTCACTTCAAACTACCCTCACCCCATTGTATGTCATATTCGACTACTTTCACAGTACTCACCTCACCTTTTTCTACCTTCGTCTTTGAAGCACTCTTCTGTTCCCCCCCCCCTCTCGACTTTTTTCCCACTTTGATGTTCCTTCCCCTATGTGAAGACTGAAGTCAACTAAAGGGCTAATGATAACCATCAAGACGCCTGCCATTTGATATAAATAAATNTATATAGGCATCACCAACCTCTGGGCAACATAAAACACTGTGTGAATTATTTAAAACAACTTGAGAGGTAACGAAGAGTACGTTCGTACACACACACACATTCACTCACTCTCTCCCTCGCGCCTTCGGACATTACAACCTGACACATCGAAAGCTTGTCACGTATGGTAAAAACTCTCCTTTTAAATGCAAATGACGGAATGACTTTTCCTCCTTTGCTTCACTCGCCTGCTCATTTTTAGTCTGGGTATGACAATTGCACTTGCAGGGAAGAAAGAGGGTAAAACTCCTAGGAAATGCCTACTTTAGGGGTAGGGGGGGGGGTTAAATATATTGACTCCATCACAACTTCAAAGTAACTTTTTTAGCGCTTTGGCAGGGATTTTAATTTGGTCATTTAATAGCTTATATTCAAATCAATATTTCATTTTTTTAGGACGCATTAGTGAACTCGGTTCGATGAGAGAGAGAAACATGCTAAGAATGCCTGTGTGAGGTCTATTCGAATTACCTTTTTTGGGCGTTAACGCCCCTTGAAGTGAAAAAAAACGAACTAATTCGTGTCGCTTTTGAATTAAAGTAAATATACAACCGTCTGTTTATGCTTTGGAAAATAGAGTGTTCCTTTCTTCATAAAATTTTCTTTCTTATACATTTAAATACACTGCTATCAACTTAAACCCATTAACGCCCTGCAGGAACGCACGGTCCTCTTTCAAAATAAGCTCCATTGGTACTAGACTCGAAACAGAAGGCGCTGTTACCGTTTGTACCATCTTCAATATGTCTGCAGCTTTCGCTTAACATCACCAAAACTCATCACTTCGGGGGCATTATTCAGCGGTGAGAAACGTGCGAGTGCGGTTGGGTGCATTTTTCAAAAAAAAATAATAAATCTGGTGTTTAAGGGTTAATGGTTCACAATGGGATAACGCAAAGATTTCAATCCTCCTGTGCGACCCCTCTCATCACGTGATTGTACTTATTCATCCCGTCCACTCATAATTTCACCCTTGTACGCTCAGGGGCTTAGCCGGATCCCTTCTGCAATTTTACCCCGCTGGATCAAGCAATGGAACAGAACCGTTTTTTAATGGCTTATATCATTCGATATGTTCTTATGCTATTCAGTACCTTGGCATTCGGCATCTCTATGTAAGTGATATGCTAATTAGGTAAGGTGAGCGAATTTAAGGTCTTCATTCCAGTTCAGAATAATTTGAAATAAAACATCTCGATTGAGGGGGTGGGAGGGGGGGGTAGTTAGCTAGAGGAGGTGCTCGACATTGATCTGAAATGAATCAAACAATTGCCGTAACTTGACGCCCGCTTCACTTTCTTAAAGAAATATGCTTTTAATAAATATAGAAATTTTTCCGATCAGATTCAAAATCACATTGGAAGTTGGAAGTGGTCGATGACTCACTTTCTTGGAAGGTTTATTCTATATTACTCATATTAATATTTTCGAAATATACAGAGAATTCCAGAGGATAACTTATTAAATTCATTCTGATACCTACTAAAGTACACAGCTGCTAATATCGTGTACTTTTTAATCTAATTAAGCAAATTGGCACGGAGGAATTCTGGCTAAGTAGCATTATCATTTATAATAGAAAAAATAAAATATTAACTTGTAAATTTTTGAAGTTGATAAGCAACGAATAGCTTTCGCTTCATAGAGACTGTCTGTCTATCGTGCTTAAAATCTGCTCTCCCTATTAATAAATTAGAATTCTTCCAAGGAAATAGCAGATAATAAACACTGATCTTGAGTAATATTCCAAAGTGACTAAGGTGCGGGGGGAGGAGGAGGAGGGAGGGGGGGTTCAATTGAGTGGATCTTTTAAAAAGCTAAGTAACTTACCATTTGAGCTCTACGTTTGTCAGCTCTCTGGCCCTGGTGGTAGATGCGAGAGAAGTTGGACACAATGAAGGGCACAGGAAGAGCAATCACCAAGACTCCAGAGAGTGCGCAGGTGCCTCCAATGAGTTGGCCCATAATTGTCTTTGGCACCATATCGCCGTAACTGAAAACAGCATAAAAATTTTCATAAACGAAGACGAAAGAAAATTCAAATGCAGAAAAACTACTATTACTGGTGTGGGGTGGGTGGTAGACCTGCCTCCACGTGATGCACCCTGGCCAACGTATACTCATAAGGCAAAAGTCTATAAACCTGCAGTTGACATCTGACTTCAAACTGCCATGATCCCACTATATGTCATATTCCACCACTTTCACAGTACTCATCTTACCTTTACTCTGCCTTCGTGTCTGCCAGCCTCCCTATTTGCTTCTGTGAATCACTCTTCTGCCCCCCCCCCCTCCTCCCACCTCGACATTTCGCGACTTTGATGTTCCTCCCCTCTGTGAAACTAGAAGCCACCTAAAGGGCTAATGATAACTATCAAAACGCCTGCCATTTGATATAAATAAATAAATAAATTTCGGACTATGCGCTCACACAAACGATCAAGACCTTATAAAGTTTATAAAGAGGAAGATCCTTAGGACACATTTTAATATTGAAGGAATATCAAACCATGAGGCTTCGAATCTCAAACTACACGCAACCACTCGCACTTGAAAACGCCAACTGTTCCACACCTTCCAAGGGGGAGGGGGGTAACCAGGCACTTCCCATGGCCTTCTTTACCCTCCCAGTGGAGAGGTGGGGAGTGGGGGGGGGTGGGGGGGGTGGGGGGGTGGGGGTTGTGTTTTAAACATCCCCTCCCCCGCTCACCGAAAATGAGATCCAATAGGAGTTGTTTTGAACCCACCGTGTTTCAAGTGGTTTATGACTTCTGCGTCTCTCAGAATTTATTTATGATAGGGCGGTCAAAATTGTGGATGCGGAGAAAATTTTTGGCCAAAATATTATAGGAAATATTCCTCCATTTCTTATAGATTTAGCATTTCATTAAAGCAAGAGAAAGAAATTGCAAGATTCCTTAAGTGATCTTCAACATTGCTTACTTATCTGCCGAAACGCATAATGATCCCATTAAGAGGTCAAATTATTACACTCTATATTGTAGACCCTAATTAGATCAGATTTAACAGAGATTTTGTAGTATTACTCGAATTCTATTGTGCTTCGCTAATTCTAAAATCGAATGTGTTTACTCACTATATCATAATAATATGAATGTCATTTATTTAGTGTTAAATCCTTTCTATTGTCAATTAATAGTTACATGTTGTCTAGTAGTGCTGATATTACTATCTGAACGTAGGTGAGTTCTGCTAACATCTGAAATGTCAAGTTGGTTAAAAGGGGTGTTTAATGGAGGATATGGCCAAGCCATCACTCTCATTGATCTTGTGGTTGCGAATTTTTGCTATATCTATTCTACCTTCTAGGTCGCTCAATGCAATGAACTTATTCGATAGAGATATGTGAAATGGTCGAGGTTGATCATACCCTAGTTGTCACGTCCCATTAGGCCTTTATCGTGAGGTATGATACTGAAAGTCAAAGTACCACGTTCAATAGTTAGGATCGATCGATAAGCAGACAGTCAAATAAGACATTTATTAATGAGTTTTGCCTCCACATTCAGCTTGATCCACTTAATTGGGGGATAGTGAACACGTCTAATTTATTAATTGAGCTTAAAAATTACCAACAGTCGAATTTGTTTTTCTATGGATTTTTCCAATTAATGATTATTGAGCATTATTGACGCACAAGTGGTGGTGGTGGTGGAAAGAGAACGATGAAATCTCCTCCATCACCTCTTGATACTATTTCATAATATACTGGCTTCATCACGAATCAATTTCCATATAAACTCGATGTTGATATCAAATTACACACTTATTTGAATATAATATTTGCAAATATTATGCAAATTTTAAAAACCTTTGAGAACCAGGGTGGAATATTTAATTTGAATGTATCAAATACACTTTCCATGTTAATATTTAGCCTAAAAGACGCTTTTCCATTCAATCGATCGCAATTTATTTCTAAATCATTGTAAAAGTGACGATTAATAACCCGAGACTCGTATCAGTTGGGAGGAGGAGGAGGAGGAGGAAGGTGGGTGGGTGGAGGTGGAGGGGGAGGGGTGGTGGGGGTATGTGGTGGAGGGCAATAAAGTATACTTTCGGACCACCTAGGTCAGTGTTTCAGGTTAATCGAAAAAGATCAAGGGTCAAGCGTGAGGTCAAGTTGATTGTATGTGGCCGTGGACGAAAAGGGGAAAGTGTTTTAAGGAGGGGTTGGTGGAAGTGGAGTTTAGGTGACACGAAAAAGTGATGGGAAAATGCGAATTTGCAGAGAGAGAGAGAGAGAAAGTGAGTGAAGACGATGTATCAAGAAATCTATATTTCAGCATTCACCTTGAAGGGAATTAAGTGCTCGCAAATTCCAATTTTAAGTGATCCGACACCCATACGTATTTTGAGAATAATGTAAGTTTAAGTTTCACAAAAATAACTGAAGAGAGAATAGATTTTAAAGGTGGCAGAGATTTGCAAACGAATTTTTTTCAAAGAATGCAATTTCTCAAGTAAAGGCTCTTTGCAAAATTAAAGAGAAGAGACATTTTCTAACCCCCCCCCCCTCCACCCACCCACCCAACACCTTCATATTTATTATCTACTTCTTCCTCGAATGATCTCACCTTTCAGTTCGTTTGAAGAGTTCTCTTTTTTTTCTAACAAGTCTTCTCTTGAGCCATATCTAATTTGTTTGCTGGAAGTTTGAGAGTGCTAGCATTGATTTGGTTCCAGAAATAAGCGACCTCTATTGATCCCCAAGTCTCATTTAGAGAGCCTTATTTACATGAATTTCGTAGACAACTTTCCCTCTTTGTTTAATCACGCTTCTAATCTTCCATAGGTAACCAGTTCGAGTATCGCAAACTCCTGCAGTAAGCACTATTCTTATATGGTCTTTCATTGGTGAACTATCCTGTTCTGTGGTAAAATGGCATGATTGCCAATAGTTCTTCAGGCAATTGGCCACCCGATCTCTCTTTTGGATGTGTCCACAAACAGCGCTACTTCGTTGTTCGGTCGTAAGGAGTATGGGCGTACTGATGTGAAAAATAATTCTCTGACCGGAATATTTTCCGAACTGCTTCGAACGCAACTGTGTTCCATTGTCTGAGAAGGGAGTGCTAATAGAAAATGAAGCATTTGGCATGACATCTGGCCCCTTGAAATGTGAGACCATTGATAGGGTGCACAAAATCAATGAGCACTCAACTGCATGGTGACTTCGCAGTGGGACCAGGGTGGTAGTTCCGAACGCGGAGGACATCTATCAGTACTTCGTTATTCTAGACACCCTTAGGCAAGTTTTTCTATGGCTTGTTCAGTCCTTATCAAATATATGCTTCCTCAGTTTAGCGTTTTCATACATTACATGAACCTAATAAGCTTAACTAACTTAAGAATTAGTGAAAATGTATCTTGTTGGAGGAAACATTAGAGAAGCTCACGTTTAAAGCAACAAAATGGATACTTTTATTTTTTTTTAAAATTATGTATACATATATATGTATAACTACTTGGTGGAGTTTCCATCGTAATTTTGAACTCTCCCATTCATATGAGCTGGCAATTTTACTCTTGATAATAAAATGGAATTCACCGATCATAAATGATGTTGTCCATTATGAAAAAATTATTCTCTTTGTCTGGATACTAACTAACCTCAACTTTCTGGTTATAAAAGGAGCGATTGATTATTGATAGCCCTAAAGTGTCCACTAGATGTAAAGAATAGATGTGAAGCACAGTTGATCAGTTATATATTGAATGCATAACTCATCATCAATCTGTGATACCTATATTTAGTAATTTACTTTATCCTTCATTGTCTCTATCGAAGGGATAAAGAAATAAAATTTACAAGCGAACGAATTTTATATTAGTAATAAGGGGTGTGCGATAGACTTAACTCCAAGTGGTGCACCCTGGGCAATGTATACTCATACAGCAAAAAGTCTATAAATAGGTAATTGACTTCTGACTTCCAACAACCATCACCCCACTGTATGCCATATTCCACCACCTCCACGGTGCTCATCTTACCTCTTTCCTGCCTTTGTCTCTCTCTACCTCTTTTACATCTGTGAATCACTCTTCTGTTCCCCCTCTCGACTTTATCTCACTTTGATGTCCCTCCTACTCTCTGTGGAGCCCGAAGTCAGCTAAAGGGCTAATGATAACTATTCAAAGCGCCTGCCGTTTGAAATAAATTAATGAATATTAGTAATGGAAAT